CAATTCCCTCCACCTAATCCCAATTCACCGGGGTCTCCTGCTCCGCAAGGCCCCAGCCCCCACAGGCTCGCTCACCAGCACTGCAGGGGCCAGGGCCCCGGGCCAGACCATGCCAGGAAGGGCAGGCGGGTAGGTGGCCCAGGAGCAGGGCCAGGCCCAGGCCCCCAACCCAGTGGCCCAGGTCCTGCCACGTGAGGTCTGGCTCAGACTGGCTGGGCCTGCGTGACAGCACCCTGGACACCTTTAGGGTAGCTCCCAGAGAGCCCTGTGGGACCTGGCCGGCCCCCAGGCAGCTCAGCTGTGTGGTCACCTGCACTGCCACCCTGCTAGCCACAGGCCCCCGGGAGGCTCTTCAGCTCACACAGGACAAGAAAGGGGGGGAAGGGAAAAAGGGAAAACCACACGCACACACCTCCCCCTGGGGGTACGGATATTGATCCTGTAGCTTCTTGTTTAGACAGTAGGCACCAGAAACAAACCAACCTGACGTGGAGAGAGGCGGCAAAGGGGAGGCCCACACCCTGCCTTCGGGGCCCCCTCCCCAGGCCTGAGGCTTGGGCCCACTCACGGAAAGACACGGGTCACTGGTCCCAGGCAGGAAGGGGGCAGGGGAGGGGAGGGAAGGGGAGTGCTGCAGGGCAAGGAGAAGAGACCACCCCCACCCACAGACAGCTCTACCCCCAGGCAGGGTGGTGCCCCAGGCCTGCCCACTTTGATGCCCAACCCTCCAGCTGCCCAGGACCCGCCTGTCCAGGCAGCGAGAAAACCCAAGTGTCTGTGAAGAGCAGATATCTGAGGTCCCCTCGGGCCTGACCAGGCTGCCAAAGTGCAAGAGCACCACCACCCCGGGGACCTTCCTCCCCAGAATCATGCTGGACTCTGCAGGGGGAGGCATCTCGCGATGGAGTCTCTCCTGCCCATCCCTCATGCCAGGCAGGCCTGACCCAGGACTCAAAGCCTCAGCCAAGGAAAGAGCTCAGGCAGGGGGCTCCATGATCATGCATGGAGGTGGGCACGGGGGCTATGAGTGCTGGGCCTGGCAGGGCCACCACGGGCCAGGGAAGGCCCCCTAAGCTGCCTGAGGGACAGAGCAGGAACAGTCACAGCTGAGGGGCCCAGGCCTCCTAATTTTCCTCCAGAGACCTAGGTTTTGGGCCCCCACCTGCAGCTCTCTGGGCCCCCTACACAGCTGTGCCCGGCCCCCTGGCAGGGCAGTTATGCATCTGACAGAGGGGTCCTCTCCCAGCTCAGCCTCCAGCTGTTGTGAGGCTCTGGGTGGGACCCTTCCTCTTTCTGAATCCCAGTGTGCCCCCCTGTGGGGTGGGCATGGGTGTGGGTTCTGAGTTCAAGGCAGTAATGTGGGTAAGGTCCTGGCCTGCGCACAGTGAGAGGAAACCGTGTCGGGCTGGTGACATCCCCCACCGCAGCCAAGCAGGGCTTCAGGGAGTGGGCGAGGGAGGCGGCCCGGTGTCTGTCCTCAAAGGGCTCATGTCCCGTGTGGGTGGGCATGGTCTGGGCCAGTGACACGACCCAGAGGGCTCTGGAAGGTGTGCGACCTTGAAGGAGGGGTCTAACCCCTACAAAAGGCATGCAGGGATGAGGGCATAGCACGAGCAAAGCAGAGAGACAGAAGGGCAGCCAGCCCACGGGAGCCACGGGGGTAGACTGGTGGGGGTCAGCGGGCGGCCACAACCAGGCCTAGTGCTGACACTGCCCGGGGCTGCTGCGGAGCACCCCCAAGGAGCTCTCCCTGCCTGCCCAAGGCCACGCCCTCTCCCATTAGCTCTCGCCACCAGCCCCTCCAGCAAGTCCCCAGACTGACTCCTCCCAGGAGCTGGCAGAGGGGAGGAGGAGGGGCAGCGTGCAGAAGTGTGCCCGTCTCTCCCTGGGGACACCAGCGTGACCAGGAATCCAGAGTCAGACCCTCCGCAGGCTAATCTGGAAACAAGCTCCTCCTTTTTCAGGATTAGCCCGACACAGCTGGCCAGGAGGAGGCGCCCATACAGGTGGAGCAAAGAGGGGACGGCGGCCAAGGTCCCCTCAGAGTCCTCCAGCCCTGGAGGGATGTGAGCGCCTGGTGGCTCTGCATGCCAGCGGTGGAGGCAGCCTCGCTCTCCCTCCTGCAGAAGCTGCGACAGGCTGTCGGGGACAGGGGGACCCAGATGTGTGATGTTGCCCCCCTCTAACAGGGAGGTGAAGGCACGGGCTCAGAGGCCCAGACAGACACACGTCACCCACCATTAACCGCAGCTAGACTGACGCATGCCGTCGTGGGCACTCAGGAAAAGGAGCACGTCCTCTGGCGGTCATTAATCTGCTGGGAGGGTCCACACCCCTCGGGCCCCTCTGCCTCCACCCCTCCGGTGGGAGGGCGGCACTGGCCAGCACCATCCCTGGGGCACAGCGGGGCTGGGAGGGAGCAGCCAGTGGGCAGGGCCCCACAGAGCAGGGTGCTGGGAACAGGGGTAGGAGTTCAATGAGATGACAGAGGAGGCGGGCAGGGCCCAGTGGGCACAGACACGGGCAAGGAAGTGGGGTGGGAGTGAAGAGAGACCCAAGAAAGAGAGCAGGGGAAGGGCAGGAAAGCATACAGGAGATGCGGGGGCTGCCCCTCAGCCAACAGCAGCCACAGCCAGGCCACAGCCACGGCTGGGGTGGGCATGATTGGGAACAGGAGGAAGCGGGTGGAAGGCAGAGTGTGTGCTCGACTCACCCCAGCCACACGCATGCACGAATGCACACGCATGCACTTGCGCACAGGGGGCTCCTCACCCTGACCCAGGTCCGATGGGGCAGTGAGAGAGCCGCCCCCCGCCAAGCCAAATCCCTGCCCTCCCTCCAGCGGTAACTCCTGTGCACCCCTGGACCCAGTGGCAGCATTGGTCCACTTGCCTGGTGGGCAGGGAGCCTTACTGACCGCAGAAATAATAACAGTCACCAGACCCCAAACCCACACCTGCTTGAAACGCAGCTGCTCTGGGACCTGAGCCCACCGCATGGCCAGACTCCAGCGAGGAAGTGACCCCCGTGTGGGCTGTCTCCACTGAGGGGTGGCCACTCCAGGGCCTGGATGCTGAGGGTCCCACTTCCCACCTCAGAAAACCACCTGTACCAATGCCTCAGCCCAGCCGACCCAGGAGAGTTCCGGGAGGCCAGTGGCCGCGCAGCCTCCAACAGCTGCCTCGGCCTTTCATGTCAGTTCAGTACAAGCCCCAGCTCCAACGGGCATGGTCTCGTGCGGGGCGAACCTCACGCGATCCCTCCCCTCCTCCCTCCAAGGATCCACGGGGCGTCTGCATCTGCGGGACCAGGGCAGCTGAAGGGCGCTGGCTGTCACAGGAAACCGTGTGTGTCGTTGCACCATCAGTCACCTCCCCCCGGACCCTGAACACTGTGCAGCCCCCGCCCCACCCCCATCCCGTTCTCTATTTACGGCTTGCCAGACGCGTCCCAAACCCTCCCATTAGCTCCGACAATGTGGACAGGAGACGAGCATCCAGCCAGCTATATGCCACAGCCACCAGCCCACCTCACCGTGCTGGCCAGGGTCTCCCACTGTCCCTCCGAGGGAGACCCTTGCAGGCCCAGCAGCCATCTGACCGGCTGCAGGGGAGAGGGAGTGAGGTGGGCAGAGGTGACAGAGGCATCTACTTAAACCTTCACTCAAGGAGCTGTGATATGGTTAGGGAAAAATCACTGAGCTTGGCTTTAAGGAAAAAAAGAACAACAAAAAATAATGCTTGTGCTCTTTTTAAACGCTGTGGCTTGAGTCTCTTTTCATCGCAGCAAATTAAAGACAATAACACAGCCACAAGCCCTGAACTTCCACCATTCCCTTCTCCCTGCACCCCCCACCCACCACACACACACAAGAAAAATCCAGACGGTTGACAGAGGACACGTCCGTGCAGCACCTGTAATTTGCCAACTGATCGCTCGCCTGAGCAAAGCCGGGCTGTGAGAGCAGAGGGATGACGAGACAGAGTCAGGGCACAGCCGCTCCGAGTTTTTCTGTCATCCGGGAGAACCTACGGCCTGGAGTCGGCGGGTTTTGAAGCGGAACTAGGGGCTCCTACCCTTGGGCAGAACTGGCCCAATGACGCAGAGTCAGCCTCTCCCCTTCCCCACGGCGAGACCGTTCCCCTTGGCCACTAGCAGCCCACTGCTATTTCCCAAACCCCAGGTCTGGCCACTGGTGAAGGAGTCCGGGGATAGACGGCTCCTTAGACCCCGAGAACAGACAGCAAGGTGGTCACCGTGCCCTAAAGCCCCAGGGGCAAGGGTGTCTGGGCACTGACATTGGGCTGGGGCATGGTACCCACAGGGACAGCTGGTCTCCTGAGGGCTACAGCCCTGAACACCCAATCCCAGCCCCAGGCACATGGGCCATGCCCACCCGGAGGAGGATGCCCAAGTCTGTGGGCTCTTGGGGCGGGAGACGGGGCTCGGAAGGGCCAGGGAACCAGCAGAAGCTGGCAGGGCCAGGAGAGGCTATTACCCTGTGGGCAGTGACAGCGCAGGGGTCCTCCTGACCATTTACCCTCTGCCCCCGCCCAGCACCTTCGGCTCCTAGCTGTGCTCTCGGGAGGACCCGCCCCCAGTGGAGGGGGCCGCGAACACGGCGCTCCAACCCTTCTGTGGCACCGGCCACAGCAAGGTGCTTACATCCTCTGCAGCCCGCCCTCCCCCGCCAAGGAGGAGGCCCGTGAAGGCAGGTGCGGAGGTGCCCCATCCCCGCCCGAGAGCGCCAGGTTCCCGCTGGGGAAAGAACGGGGGTTGGGGGGAGAGGCGCGGCTTCCCCTGCGCCGGGGGTCGCGCAGCCCCGGCGCCCAGCCCCCCGGGACAGCGGCCGGGGAGCCAGCGGAGCTCGGGGGCTCGGGGCCGCGCTCTGCCCGCCCGCGGCGGGGGCGAGAGCGCCGCGGGGAAGTTTCGCGACGCAGCCAGACGCCCCGGGCGCGGCGCGCGGGCCGGGGCCGGGGTCCCGCGGCGCCGGCACTTACGTGTGCTGCTGGGGGAAGCTGTAGGCGGCGGCGCCGGGGGCGGCGACCAGCGGCAGCAGCAGCAGCCGGGGCACGAGCAGCAGCAGCGGGCGCGGGGCGGCGCGGCGGGGCCGGGGGAGCGCGGCCGGCGGGCCGGGCCGGGCGGCGCCGCAGGTCCGAGCCGGCAGCGCCATGTTTCCATGCACGGCGCGCGGCGGCAGGGCGCGGGCGGGGGCGCGGCGGCGCCTCGGCTGCTCCGCCGCCTCCTCAGAGCGGCCTCTGCGGGCTGCGCCGGGACCTCTCCGCCGCACGGGCTGCGAGCGCTCTGCGCGCCCGGCCGGGACCGGCGCTCAAATAGCGGCCGCCGCCGACCTGCGGGCGCCGCCTACTCGCGCGCCCGCCGCCGGGCCGGCCCGCCCCCGCGCGCCCCCGCCGCGGCCGCGCGCTCCGCGCCTGCCCCGCCGGCCCGCGCCGCCGAGCGAGCGGAGCCGGGCGCGGGCTCCCGGTGCGCGCCCGGTGCCCACGCCTCCGACCTCAGGCTCCTCTCCGCCGCGCCGCCGCCCAGCCTGGCGCACGTGTGACCCTCCTTGGGGCTCGACCTTCAACAGGCCTAAGGCCTGGAGCCGCAGGTCTGCAGGTGGCTTGGCAGACGCCAGCACACCGGAGAAGGGGGCTGCGGAGCCGGGCTTACCCCGCCCCCCCGGGGCTCCGGCCACCTTCAAGAGGCCTCGCGCATGCACTCGGATCCCCGGCCCCGGACGGAAGGAAAGGGCCTGAGTCTCCGGGCTGCCTGAGCGGGGGTCCAGGCACAGGCGCACAGTTGAGAGGGGCTGAGAACAGCAGGATGCAGCCCCCTGCAGCCACCCACCTCATCCCCCTTTCAGCGGGCATTGCGGGCAGACCAGCCCCAAGCCCCAGCCCCGACAGCTTGCACAGTCTCTGCTCAGACTCCTCCAATGCCGGGAAGCTCACCCCTGTATAAGCCAATCGTTTCTGCCTGGAGGCCCGGCTCCCTGCTGCAGGGAGCGCACTGGGGGGCTGGTGTCGCTTCTGCCTCGAGTCTTGTGGGCCTCTCAGAGCCTCAGTCTCCTCCCTTGTGAGTGCTCGTGTGGGTGCCACCCGACTCCCGGAAGGAAGTGAGGAAGGTAGCGAATTGCTTGCTAAAGCGAAGCACTCATAGCTGGGTGACAGTGTCCCTGAGATTCCCCTGGGCCCCTGATCTGGCCCTGGTGAAGATGGGGTGAGAGACTGCTCCCTGCCCGGCATGGGACAAGACCTCCTCAGCAGTAACTGCCCACAGACTCTGCTTAACCTGAGGAGGGAGGGACAACAGTACCCACACAGGCAAGACCCCCCAACTCACGCCATCTGGGCGAGCCTCCCATCACCCACCCAAGGGCCAGCCTGCAAAGGTTTGCAGTTGGGGAGGGAAGAGTGGTGGCCCCTGGGCCCAGGACAGCAGAGGTCGGGGACTGGACACAAGGCTCAGGACAGAACTGTACTTGCCCTCCGGTCCTGCCCGAGCTGTGCCACCCCTTCCAGGGCTGGACAAGGAGACGGTTTTGAAGCATCCTTCTCCCCTGAGCTGGGTGAGTCTTCAGAGACCAAACTGAGGTTTGCCAGCAGGCCCCAAACTATGAGACCCCAAAAACATTATCAGAGGAAAGCAGTGCCCTGTGCCCCACACCCCTGGCAGGTCTGGGGCCTGGTGACCATGAGGGGCCTGGTGACACTGGGAGGCTAAGCCAGGCCAGCCCTTTTGGAGGCAAGCAAGCGGGGCCCTCACTGAACCAGCTGCCTGATTGTGCCAGCTGTCACCCCCCACCCTGCACCTCTGTGCAGGGCCGTCTCTCCGGGCTGGACAGAGTCCCCGCAGGCTGGCACCTGTCCCTTCCATGCTGGGGGAGGGCTGGCCTGTTTGGGGGACAAATGTGCATGGCCCCAGAGAACCAGCATGAAGGACCCAAAGAGAACACTGGATGCCCTCTGGGGTTAGGTGGGCACCTTCCCAAGGCAGGCTGGGTGTGGCAGGGGGAGCCTCCTGCCCTCCCTGCCCTCGGACACCAGGATGGCAGTGCTGTTCCTGAAGGCGCCCAGCCATCAGGTTCCTGTATCCAGGCAGGGTGCGGCCAGCGGGCACTGGTAGTTCCAGCCTCCACGGATGTGCACCTAACCAAGGCTGCAGGCACCAAGGTTAAGGTGGGAGATTTTGGCTGACAGGCCATTAAAGGAAGACAAATAAGGAGGGGAGGTAATTAAGAGTAAAAGTGTAGTAAGAGTTGACGCATCCCAACTTCCGAGGCTCACAACATCTTCAGCATCCCGGTGGCTGGCTCCAGCCACTGAGTAAGATGTGGAGGAACAACCAGGCCTCCCCAGGAAATAGGGGGAAGGCGCACTGACTGGGTGGGTAGCAAAGGCTTGGGGCAATCCACCTGGCCAGAGGTCCCTGTGCTGGAAGACGTGGGACATCAGGGGCAGGTAAAGCTGCAGCCAGCAGAGAGGGGCCTGGTCATGCAGGGGCCTGGCAGGTGCCCGCTCTGCATGTGGGCTAAGAGGAGGTCAGCTCAGCAGGTGAGAAGAGACTAAGGGGTCTTTATGGAAAATCTATGTGCCCAGCAAAGCCTGGGCTCTGCTATGCCAATGAGGGAGGAGGAAGCCCAGCAGGGCCATCCGTCCAGGACACCTGAGGAGCAGGAGCCCTGCTCCAGCCTGCCCACCTCCAGCTTCCCTCCCATCACCCTTTGCTCCAGAAGCCAGTGGGCTGGACAGGGCTTTATTAGGGCTTTTTAGGGCTTTTCTCCTGTGGCTCCTTCTGCCTCACCTCTACCACTTGAACCCAGGATATTTATGGACCCACAAATACCACTTATGTCAGGAAGCCTTTCTGGACCCCCTCAACGAGGCAGCCCTTCCCATCCTGACCCTGCTCTCCTGCCCCCTTCCCACTGCCAACACTGTAACAGTCCCTGACTTGGGTTCAGGAAAATGCCTGTTCCCTGCACTCTCATCCAGCTGGGGCCTGAGTTTCCTTTGTCCCTGTCACCTCTTTGGGGCCCCACACAGAGCCTGGCCATTGAGAGGGCACAGGAAGTGTTGACATAAGGGCTTTTGGGTGGCATCCCCAGGAGCCTGGGGGTATGCTTAGGAAGAGTGGTCTGGTCTGGGCATGAGAAGTAAGTGCTATGGTGTCAGATCACAGGTTATGTAGGCAAGCTGTTATATCTTTCTCTCCTGCCATGGAATAGGGGACATGGTGCCCACTGGCAGGTACCCACCTGAAGACCTAAACCATGTGACAACTCAAAAGCAGGACTTGGCACTCAGCAAGGACTGGACAAAGGGAAACCACAGAGAGACCCAGGCATCCCCAGGAAGGGTAGGTCCCACATGCTGGCAGGCAAGGAGGGCTTCCTGGGAAAGCAGGCAGGATTCCAGCTTGGGCTTGCAAGAGGAGCAAGATGCGGTGAGCATATTAGGGATGGAAGGAAGGGAGATCCCTCGGGGCCGAGCGTGACCTGAGCCCGAGGCTGCCCTTCTGAGCCCCGTCGGCTCAGCTTGGGTCAGTTAAGCTGGCCCTGGCCTTGGAAGTAGCAGGAGGCTGTCCCCGCCTCAGCCAGCCCATCTGGGCAGGACTCAGTGGTCCCCAGGGGCCCCCAGCCAGGACACACTCCGTGTACAGCTGACTGCAGGGGTTTGCCCCTGCCAGTGGCTACTTTGGCTCACTAACTAGTTCCCTGGGGACACCCAGGGGTACAGTGGCCCCCCAACGTCCTTGCCTGAACACAGTGCAGATGTGGTCCGGCCTCTAGGTGCAGCCAGACAGGCACTGCATCTCCAGTAGCAGCAAGAGCCCTTCCAAGCCCCTTCACACAATGTTGGATCCAGTCAGTTTATCACCATTTATTGTACTAAATGGAGTCCTCTTCGGGCAGTGTGAGCCCTCACCACCTACACAGCTGGGCCAAGTCCAAGGCTACAACTGTTGGAGGCTGTAGAACGAACGCTCTTTTAGACAGAAAGGGAAACCGAGGCACCAAGAAGGATGGAGACTTGCACAGAGCCACCCAGTGGTCAGGGCAGATCAGGACACGCAGCTTGGAGTCTGGAGACCTGGCCTGTCATCCCAGATCTGTCTCCCTATGACCAGGAGTGAGGTGACTTAGAGCTCCCAGACCCTGCGCTTGGTGTCCCAGTCCTGGCCTCCAACATCCAAGAAACCACAAAGCCAGCTCAGGGCTCCTGGGGGAGCAGACCTCCTTCACTGGAGGGAGGACCCTGCTCAGCCCTCGGTCACTGTGAGGGCCCCTGGCTTCAGATCGTTTACCTGAGAGGACGCTGGTTAATCAGGTTAATCAGGCAGTTTCTGGCAAGTATAGGAGGCTTGACCCTTGGCCCCTGGGAGCTCTCCATTTAGGAGGGGACTCTGACAGAGGAAGAAGGAGCAGTGGGTACCTCAAACCACGCATAATTGCTTCCTGTGGGTGACATGCAGCCGCTCAGCGCCGCGAGGCTTGGGAAGGCAGGGAAGGCTTGCTGGAGGAAGGGACCTTGAACCTAGCACAGAGGACAGGTGGGGGGGGTGGGGCCTGGATGGACAGGGCTGAAGGTGGGGAGAAGTGTGTCTCGGGCAGGGAGTCTGAGCAAAGCCCTGAGGCAAGACAGCACCGGCTTCGTGCAGGTGACAGCAAGGAGACTGCCTGCCCAGGCCGGGGCCTCTTCCTCACTGGACCTCTTCACTTGGGGGCCACCTGCAGTGGTGGGGGATGGATGGCATGGCCTCATGGGCGGCGTGGGGCAAGGCACCGCTCAGAGGTGCTGATGAGCAGGACCTCAGGGCAGCCTATCTGCTCTGCTCCAGGATTCTCGGGCCCGGGGCCTCACTGGCAGAGCACCCTTGGCTGTGTGAGTGGCAAGGTGACCCTCACTGCCTCTGCTGCCCTTACGCCCCCTGGGCAGGAGCACCCATCCAGAAAGCCTCCCACTGGGGCCCGTCCTGGGGGCCCTCGTCCCCACTGAACGGCCTGCAGTCTTCCTCGGAGAGCTCTGCTCCCCTTACAGATGAGGGAATGGAGGCAGTGGGCAGGGCTCGTCTCAAGGTCACGGTGAGCAGAGGGCCTCAGACTCCAGGCTCAGGGCTTGGTTCTGTCCTCTGTGCCCCTCCCAGCCACCGAGGCTTCTCTCTGGAGGCCCCTGACCTGACAGCTGCCTCAGGGCGCCACCCTGCATCCCACGTGCAGGGTTGTGTGTGGCAGAAGGGCCCAGGAGCTGGGTTTGTCCCCTGCCCCCGAGGCCCTCATGCCGCTGTGGCGAGAGGAAATGAGGACAAATAAAAGAAATTC